AATAATGTAGCTGGTGCTGGGAAGCCTGCCACCGGACAACGACCCGACTGCATTCTTGTAGTCGGCGGTGCGGATGACGTCAAAGACGAAGTCCACTAGCGCCTGCGATGTGTCCCGTACCCGTTCAAGGACCCAGGCGGGACGTCCTGGTCCTGCTGCCCATTAATGGCGGGGCAGGTCGGCGGGGCCAGCCTGGCGGGCCAGCTCGGCAATTTCCTAGGGCGCCGACTCCCTGCGGCACTCGGCACCACAATTAAATACCGAGCCGACCCTCGGGGGTCAGATTGCCCAGGTCGCTCGGGATGACGTTATGGCTAAGCTACGTCATCCCAGTATGTCCAAAGCCACCTGATGCACAAGACGATGAAGATAAACTGGGAAAGACCACGATCTCGGCGCTGTCGTTGTAGCGCTCCAAGATGACCTGGGCGGTGCGGTGGCCCCGCTCGACCACGTTGGTCCGCGGGCTGGCGTTGCTCACGATGACCTTGATTTCCCCGCGGTAGTCGGGGTCCACCACGCCGCTGGCAATGTCGATACCTTTGAGAACGAGACCTGGGCGTGGGGCAATACGCATGTAAGCGCCCGGTGGCGCCAGTGCTGCAATGCCCGAGGACACCAACCAGTTCCCAACCATAGGTCGCGATACTGGCGTCGGAGCAGGCGTCGGGGTCGGAGCCGAAAGAAACGGTGGCGCTACGTGGAGGCGCTTTCGCATTCAGAGCGAGATCTTCAACTTGTTAAATTTCCGTTCGTCGGCGTTCTGGTGATCCTGGTTGTCGCTGCCTACCGCCAGCAGCGTGAGCTGCTTAGGCGACAGGCCCCTGGAGCGCGGCTGGAGCTTGCCGAAGTCGTCGACTGGGATGCACACGTGCCTACTCGGCGCCGACTCCAGGTCGAAGTGGATGGTGACGGGGCCCCAAGTGATCTCGTAGCCGCGTGGTCCGGGAAAGGTGGGGCGCTTGTGTTCCGCGCTTGTCTCCGCCACACCGTTGTTAAACTGCATGGACTGCAGACCCAACAGGCCATCACACCGTCGCGGGAGGTCACCACGATCGGGCAATGGATCTCCCGCCCTGCGACTTGCGACCCGTTGCCAACTCCTGCCCTTCTCCTCCGAAGGGAAACTTCGCCTGCATGGCTGGCTCTCCAAGACAAATTCTTGGGAAATCGCATACCCCAGAGGTTGATCCAGGCGCCCGTGTCGACGATGACGCCTAACCGACCACCTGATAGTGGGATGCTCGCCAGGTAACACGGTGAGTCGTTGTGTGAGCTCGAACCTGTGCCTGGCGATCTCGGCCACCACGGGAGCGTAGGCCTATATAGAGGCATGTGCAAGTCCAAATGGGTGCCGCATTGTACTGTCGTATCCTCTGCTGACGCGAAACTGGATGCACTGCATGAAGATCCCCAAGATCGCCCCAAGACGGCCCCAGAGGGCCCCAAGACTGCCCAAGAGGCGCCGCAGACGGCCCAAGAGGGCCCAAAGACGGCCCCGAGAGGGGGTCCAGATGGAGAACCCGAACGGACAATTACAGCCCTCGGCCCCGAGGGGGCCCCAGGAGGCCCCAAGAGGCCCCCAAGAGGCCCCCAAGAGGCCCCCAACAGGCTCCAAGAGGCTCCCAAGACGCCCCCAAGAGGCTCCCAAGAGGCCTCAAAACTGCACCCGAAGTAGCATTCCTGAGAACTTCACCCACAATCCAAGCACTGCGGCGAGATGGGCCGAAGGCCATTAGACATATCTATATATGCACACACACACACCAGGAGGGCAGTGAGAGTGAATCAGGGAAGGGGGAGGAGGAAGGAGGAATAGAGAGGAGGAGAAGGAGAAGGAGGAGGAGGAGGAGGAGGAGGAGGAGGAGAGGGCGGGAGGAGGAAGAGGAGGAGGAGGCGCAGGGGGAGAGGAGCGGGGAGCTCCCCCGCCGGCCCTCGTGCTCAGACACTGCCGAGGCGGCCCCTGAGTTTGCGGAATCTGCCCCCGCTCCTCACTGCGGCCGCGGTGCCCCCATGATCGCGTATCCCCTCGACGATCATGTCCTTCACCTGGCTTCAGGGAGAAGGGCTAGCAAACGCACACACACACACAATTGAATACAAGATCCATAATAATAGACTGTCGGAGGTCAGAGCAGAGTTCTTGGATCGGCGCTAGACCCCCTGGCGGCGCCGTCGGCGCCGCCGCTGGCGCACTTCGCGAGCCAAGGAAAGGGATTCCAGCGCCGATCCAAGAAATCGGCACGGGCCTCCAAAAGTATCTGCTGATGTCCTTTCTTCGAACGCAGACCTCAAGGGTCGCCAAAATTGGCCTAGCGAAAAACCCAATCATATGCAGTCGTGAATGCCGCAGTTGTGAGGATCGTCCTTTGGTGGAACTCCCTATGGGGCCACGATGCGTGTGAGGGGCGTGCCGATTTGGCGAGGGGGGAGACGCATGTCAACCCTCCCAGTGGCACCTCCTACGGAGCTCCCCATGGGGGCACGAATCGTGGGAGCGGTGTGCCGAAACGGGCGTGACGCCAACATGCGAACTGCGCCACTGGGACCTTCGGTGGAGCTCCCCATGGCGAAACGTGTGATGGGTGTGCCGAAACGGGCGTGACACCAACATGCGAACTGCGCTAGTGGGACCTTCGGTGGAACTCCCTATGGGGCCACGAAACGTAGGAGGGGTATGCCGAAACGGGCGTGACACCAACATGCGAACTGCGCCACCGGGACCTTCCGTGGAGCTCCCCATGGGGCCACGAAACGTGTGAGGAGTGTGCCGAAACGGGCATGACGCCCACATGCGAACTGCGCCTCTGGGACCTTCCGTGGAGTTCCCCATGGGGCCACGAAACGTGTGAGGAGTGTGCCGAAACTGGCGTGACGCCCACATGCGAACTGCGCCTCTGGGACCTTCGGAGGAACTCTTGATGAGGTCACGAAACGTGATAGAAGTGTGCCGAAACGGGCGTGACGCCCACATGCGAACTGCGCCACTGGGACCTTCGGTGGAGCTCCCCATGGCGAAACGTGTGAGGGGTGTGCTGAAACGGGCGTGACACCAACATGCGAACTGCGCTAGTGGGACCTTCGGGGGAGCTCCCTATGAGGCCACGAAACGTGAGGGATGTGCCGAAACGGGCGTGACGCCCACATGCGAACTGCAGCACTGGGACTTTTGGTGGAGCTCCCTATGGGGCAAAGAAAAGTGTGAGGGGTGCGCCGAAACGAGAGGGGGAGGAGGGAGAGGAGAGGAGAGGAGAGGAGAGGAGAGGAGAGGAGAGGAGAGGAGAGGAGAGGAGAGGAGAGGAGAGGAGAGGAGAGGAGAGGAGAGGAGAGGGGGAGGAAGGAGTGAACGTGGGGCGCTGTCCCATCAAAATGAGGACCCAACACCACAGGATGGTTGGGAAAAAACGCACACTTTCCCGCAGCGTCGACGGTCTCGGGCCCCATTGCCAAAAAGGATGCGGCCCTCGGCGGAGATCCTTCCCGCAGATGGAGTCGATGGCTGTTGCGCCCACGTCACCCAAAAAAATATGACGTCGGAGGTCAGGACGTTCCCCTCAACAGCCCCGGGAGGCTGCCAAGAGTGTGAGGTGTCCCGGGCTCCTCACGCCACTCCTGAGTCCCTGGAACCCTCTGGGCCTCTTCAGGCATGCTCCGAAATCCTGAGGGGCACCTTGGACCTTGGGCCAGGGACAGCTCTGGCAACGCCCGACCTCGAGCATCCGCAGATCCCCTCCGAGCCCAGATCACGCTGGCTATGGGCGCCGATGCCTCCCCAGAGGCCTGGATCCAGGGCATACGGTCGGGAACGTTTGAGAATCGGTGGAGCGACACATTGGCGTAAAGTTCCCGGCCGTGGGCCCGCGGATGGCGCAGCGGTGTCCCCAGCGGCTCGCCTCGTCCAGGTCCTTCCCCACGTACGCGGGGTGCATGACGAACCTATTCCCATGGCTTCGCCAGGAGATGAAGCCCTCGACGCTGAGGCTGAGGTACACGTCCACCGTGCGATTACTGCGGGCGAGCGGCGCCACGACGTGCCTGTCCAGGTTGGGGAAGTAGCGGACGAGGGTGCCTGGCGGGCAGGTCGAGGGCCCACTCCTTCCCTCCCTGCCCGCCTGCATTCCATCCCCCCCTGACAACTCCCCCCATGGCCCCCCTTCGACTCCCAGCCCATCGCCCTCCCATCCCTCCGATCAACTCCCTGCCCAACCCCATCGCCCCGATCTCCCTTAGGCGATCGAAGGGCAGAAGGAGGGAAGGGGCAAGCAGGTGAGAAAGACGCAAGGAAGAAGACCGTGCGAACAGTGGGAAGGAACAAACTCGAGAGGGACACCCTCGGGAAGGAGGGTGGAGCGAAAACGTGGGAGGACAGGAGGAGGTAGGCGAGGGAGAGGGAGAGAGAAAGGGAGAACGTAACGATTCGCACCGCCCGAAGGTCGGCTGGGCCCAGTCTAGCTGTGTAAGGGTCTGGGAGGGACACCAGGGCATCCAAATGCACCCCGACGGGGTGAGAGAGAGAGAGAGCGGCATCGCACTAGGGGGCGCCTGCAAGAAGGACGGCCACTCCGTTCCCCTGGCGCGCGCGCGCGTGGGCGAACACAAAGAGGAGAGCTCCTCCTCCTCGTCCTTTTCCTCCTCCTCCTCCTTCTCGTCCTCTTCCTCCTCGTCCTCCTCGTCATCCTCCTCGTCCTCCGCCTCGCCCACCTCCTCCACCTCCTGATCGCACCTTCCCTCCCCATCCACCTCCCCCATCCCCTCGTTACCTCCGAAGGGGATGAGGAAGGAATAAGAAGGAAGAACTGGGAAGGTTAAGAATACGAAGCAGGAGGAGGGAAAGGATAAGAAAGAGAAGGAACATCAGACACACCCTGCACGGGCGGCGCCAGCCTTCGCGGCGGTAGTCTCTTGCTGAGCCGCGTCCTTGGTTGCCCTCGCGGCGGCCTCTATCAGCGCCTTCGCGGCGGCATCTCTCTGACGAATGGTAACCTCCTCATCTTCATCGGATTCCTCTTTCTCAAGCTCACCATCGTTATGTTAAGCTTCCTCATCCTCCTATTCCTCCCCCTCCGCCTCTTCATATTCCTCCTCCTCATCCTCCTCCTACTCATCCTCCTTCCCCTCTTCATCAGCATCGTCAGCATCATCATCATCGTCATCATCATCAGCAGCAGCAGCATCTGCATCCGAATCAGCATCAGCATCGGCATCATTATCAGCAACAGCCTCATCGTCATCGTCCACACGTCGCCATCATCGCCAATATGATCAAATCAGCAACAGCATCATCATCATCACCACTAATAGCACCAACGTCATCGTCAGCATGATCATCAGCATCAGCAGATCATCGACATCAGCACCGTCATCGTCATCGTCATCATCATTATCAGCAGCAGCAGCAGCGTCACCATCGTCATCATCATCATCATCATCATCATCGTCATCATCGTCATCATCATAATCATAATCATAATCAGCATCATCATCAGCATCACCATCATCATCATCATCCTCATCATCAGCATCATCAACAACGGCAGCATCATCATCATTAGCATGATCAGTATCATCAGCATCATCGGCAGCAGCATCAGCATCGTCAGAATCGTCATCAGCATCGTCGGCGTCATCAGCATAGTCCCCGTCAGCATCGTCATCGTCGTCATCATCATCCTCTTCCTCCTATACCTCCTGCTCCTGAGATTCCTCCTCCGCATCCTCCCTTCCTCCTCCTCTTCGTCATCATCAGCATTACCATCATCATCTTCACCATCAACAGCAACAGCAGCAGCAACAACAACAATAACAGCAGCAGCAGCAACAACCACAGCAGCAGCAGCAACGATAACGACAACAACAACAACAACAACAACAACAACAACAACAACAACAACAACAACAACAACAGCAATAACAACGCCAACGACAACAACAACAACAACAACAACAACAACAACAACAACAACAACAACAACAACAATTACTAGCACGTGGGGACACTCCGTTCTCACCAGTGCAAGGGTTTTCATAGGAGGCGGGCAATACCCCCACTTTGTGGGGGGGCCGGTTCAAGCTCTACCAAATTTCCAAACGACTCTTCGCCACCACCCACACCCAGCTTCCCGCCCTATGACGTTCGGACACTTCACTTCGTGGCATGCGGACGACCGTGGCTACTATTCAGGGCCCCGCGGCCGACGACGACGGCGTGCGCGCGCGAAGAAAAAACGAATGTGTCCCGCATGGTATTATTTGACAGGGATGATGGCCCTGGCAGGTGCGCAACCGTTGTTGCAGAAGTTCGAAAAAGTTGCTCGCAAAAGCCCGTTTGACAGAAATGTTTAAAAAGTGTTGGGTTTCCTACGAATCCGCAAGAGCGCGCGGGATGAATTTTTGACAATTTTGTTTTGAAAAACCATTGGTTTTTTGATGTTTTTATGTTAAAATCGCTACGAAAACTAAGGTTTTGGAAGGATTTCGTCTTGCGCGCGCGAATGTCCACTTTACCTTATTTTTTGCAAGGGATTCTTGAAGTTTGGTTATGTTAGAACAAGAAATGTCCACTTTAGCTTATTTTTTGCAAGGGAAAACCGATCGTAACAACACAACCGGATCCGGACTCCCCCGTTTTGCCTGAGACTTCCTCACGAAAATGATGAAAATGAGGCTGCGGCCTAGGCGCGGCGGGGGGGTCGTGCACCAGGGGCCCCAACAATAATTATTCTTTAGAAGTAATAATGTTCAACAACAGCAACAACAACATCGTTGTAGTCGTCAGCAGCAGCATCATTATCATGCTCATCATCAGCATCACCATCAGCATCACCATCATCATCAACCTCATCAGCAGCATCACCATCACCGCCACCACAATCACAATCAATATCACCAACAACATCTACAACAACAACGATCACCAACAACAACAACAACAACAACATCAACAACCATTTTAAGGCTGTACGCTCTTACTTGCCCGCGAGTCATTCAACACGTATACCCTACACCCTCGATACCCGCCCTCTTCGTCTTCGATCACACCCCTTGCGGGAGATTATTTCTCTTTGCTGGGGCCGGCGGGCTTAGACGCACGGGCAAACCGGAACGGGCGGACAATCCTTCGGGGGCGTACATCTCTCTGCCCGCCATTGGAATTGGCGCGGGCCCTGCAAGAGGAGGAGGGGAAGAACGAGGGAGAGTGGGAGGAAGGGGAGGGGGAAGGACGAAGGAAGAGGGAAGATACCACGTTGTGAAGGCGTCCTTGGCGCGTGCGTGGTTCCTGAGCGCCGAAACGCAATTCCAGAATAATTTGTGAGGACGTCGCACGCGAGAGCGCAGTCCTGAGTACATTGTGAGGAAATCTCAAGCGGAGCGGGGGCCCTGACTAAATTGCGAGGCGAGGAAGTCTCAAGCGGGAGCGCCGTTCCTGAGCAAATTGCACGGAAGTCTCAGGCGGGAGCGGGGGTCCTCACTAAATTGCGAGGAAGTCTCAGGCGGGAGCGC